ACACTGATGATCAATTTCGAAATTAAGCTATGTACAATAATGATTTTGATTCACAGTAATCAAAAAGAATCACTGGATTAAGCTATGCACTCATTATGAATCAGTGATTAAACAATATAGAAATTTTTCTCTGTACTGTTTTATACTTTCGTACCATATTTAGTTATTTACATAATTTATATTCTATTTGTATCTATTAATTAGCTACTATTTTAATAAAATTTTATCTATTAGGCTAGATTTTGTATATATGTGTATGTATGTATGTATGCATGCACGTACACACACAAACCACAAAGTTAGCCTGGTTTCTAAAAAATATTTGGTGTCCCAACTAGAAAGACACAGCTGCGTTTGTGCGAGTATAAAATAAAGTTCTCGCAAATTTGAAAATTATTTTTCTTTGCCCCTTGGCCCAAGTTCGGATTACTCCATTCATGATCTCCTATCAATATGGAATGAAATCAATTTTTACTTTTTTATTGTGAAAGTAAAGAATAGACCTGTTTGCAATTTCCACGGTTCATCACACATGAGACAGAAGTTCAGAACATTAACACAAATTATCTCAAACAAATACTTACCTCAGCTTGTTTTTTAAGAATATCAACTCGGCATTGAAGGTCCTCACGTACCCTTTTCAGATTTGGGTCCTCCACCTTGGTGTGCTTCTGAAAAAAGGATGTCATAAAAGCTACTATCAAAAGTACAAAAAAAAAAAAAAAAAAAAAGCATGCAGTGCAAATGTGCAATTGTACCAATTCTGATGATTCATCCGCAGCCTATAAAATCCACTCACTAGAAAGTCTTTCAACCAGCTATGTATTTAATAAACTTCAACCTAAACTATCTACCAAAACATTTTGGTGAACCACAAAGGGACACGAGAAAATTTGAAAATTTCTCTGAAAAAAGTTTTTCGGAAAAAAGAACAGATAAAAATAACAGAAGTAAAACAAAGCAATGAGAACACACAAAAAAAAAATTTAATAGGTAACGATTTTATCAACTGACTGAATGATGATAAAAAATAAAAATAAAAAAAAACGTTTATGATTAAACTACTGTTCGAGGTGCAGAACTTCATTAGCCGTACTAATGCTAGAACAAGCACTTCAATTTTTATGCTTGGAGACCAACTACGAATACTTAATGGAAGTTAACATGAAATGGTGAAAATAAGCAGACTGTATGGTCAACAACCTGATCAAATTCATCAAGAACCTTGACAGCCTTGGCAATCTCCTCCTGGTTCTTTTCATCCCATTCCTTCTTTCTCTCTCGCTGTGCAGCAGTATGTAAAAATTTAACGGGAATTGATTAAGTTGTGTGTATAACTCAGAACCAAGCAAAACTAATATTCTTACCTTCAAACGAGAAATCAATGTGTCAGTAAATAGCTCATAGACGAATTTATAGCCCACATGCCATTCACCAGATGGGTTCTTCCACGAAGAATTGACAACCAAAGAAGCCCCTAATCAGAGTGATCAGTAAGATAAGAGTTTGAACACAAAGATCAGAAGATCAGTAAGATAAGAGTTTGAACACAAAGATCAGAAGATCAGTAAGATAAGAGTTTGAACACAAAGATCAGAAACAATAGCAAGGAAGGAGGAAAGTGTTAAACCTAAAATAGATCATAACTGTATATACTAAGATTTACTAGTTGTTATGATTCGAAGGGTTTGTTACCAAATCATAGATTTGGAATGTAATCTTCATTATAAGCATCTATAAATACATGAGGTCGTGACCCAGATAGGTCATTGTGTCATTCAATCTAACATGGTATCAGAGCATGAGCTAGAAGGGCTAGGCCAGTTTCAACAATATGACGATGCTTGCGTTCAGCAGACCCATTTTGTTGATGTGTGTGAGGGCACGAAACACGATGACCAATTCCAAGGGAACGAAAAAATGTGTTATGAATTTTCTGATATTCCCCACCCCAATCAGATTGGACCCAGAAAGAAGTACGCTCCATCCAGTCTCCAGTTCCAAAATGTTAAATAGTTGAACAGAACAGTAACAGTCAGCTACTTGGGACAAGAAAGAAAAAGAACAGTAAAATTGTTTAAAAGAGTCAAAATAGTGTAACTTGATGCAAGAACATCAAACAAAAAATCTAGAAGCATGAGCCTCTTATAAATAACCCAAGGCTATATCCTTGGAACCTCCTCTCAACTAACGCTGAGAAGCAATTAGAAAGAAAAATAAATAAATCAAACATTTATTTCAAGAATGTATTATTACGGGTAGCCAAGCAAAATTATAAAAAGGTGGCCTGGAAAATATAAATGCTCAAATTTTGATAAATAAAAAACATTGGCTGTTGAGAAAAAATCATAAGCATGAACCTGAAGCTCCAATTATGCAACCATCTGCATCGGCCTTCACCACCTTCGAGATATCAACATCGCCGCTTCCCGTACTGATACTCAAAAAAGATTTATGAATGTTGCATTACAAATTATCCCAACCATACTAATAATAAGAAGAATTAAGGACATGAGGTCGCTTCATACCAATCAAGAATATCCAATATTTTAGGCTTTCCATCTGATGTCACTTGCAATCCCGCAGCAGCAGGGTCAACACCGCTATCTGAGAAGAAACATCAAGAAATAACAACACAACCAAAATAGTCCAGTCCAGTTACAAGAATCAATCCAATGGTTTCTTAAGCTCCAACATAGAAGGAAGTGAGAGAAACACAAGAATGAATAACGCTAGAAAGAAAAAGAAAGAAGATCTCAAATCTCAAATCCAACACGGGAAAACAAATCAAGCCAAATCGTCTAGTTCATATCACAAGCCTATAATCAACCAATAATACAAAAGTAGAACACAAGAGAATACCAAAAATGGCAATCAAAACACCACGGCCATCGAACTCAGGATTAGCCTCGATGAAGCGATCAGCAGCAATTTCCTTCTTAGGCATTAAGGAGGCCAAGAACGAGGATTCAGAGAGGCTGAAGCCAGAGAAAGCACCACCATTAACGTCGCCGTCGCCACCACCAGTAGAAGGCATTGCCCTAAGACAAACTCCTCTTGGAAGAACAGAAACCCTGGAGTTTGGGGCGGTAACTCGACTGCGGATTAGTGAGCTGAAATAAGGAAGGGCAGTAGCAGAAGCAGTAGCTGAAATAGAGGACACTGAGAAGGGGGAGGGCAAAATGGGGAAATGGAGTAAAAGCGGTGCATTTTGCATGAGAATGGAAGGGTGTTATGGTAATTTGAATGGATACGGCGGAAGCGGCGGCGGAGGGACAGGTGGTGGAGGGTGAGCGGGCAGTGAGGATGGTGGAGAGTTGAAAAGTGGATTGGAGATTAGGGGAGGTTGGATGTCACGTGCAAGACAGACAAATTACGCAATCATTTTCCTATTTTGTATACACGGCTTTTATTTATTGGCTTTGACGTCGGTCATCATTAAAAATATCTACTTTTTAATTCTTTTCAACCTTTAAAAATAAAATAAAAATTTTATAACTTCTGAAAATATATATTTTTCCGTTTTTTTTTTTTTATTACTAATAAATCATTTATATTTCTGTATATTTATTAACTTAAATTAATAAATATAAATTTTATACTCCCCTGAAATATATTTAAATTTACTTTTAAATTTTTTTAAAAAAACTCAAAAATAGATTTATTTGTTAGTATTTTATTTCAAAAATCTTTTTAAAATTTCAATGTTTTAAAATCACTTTCAAAATTTTAAAATTCAAAAGTATATTTTATCATTAATTAATATTATATTTTGAAAAAAAAGGTTAAAAATATGAAAACCATTTATACACCACACAAATTATCTCACTTTTGTTCAAATTTTTTTTTTTTTTTTTTTTTTTTTTGAACCATTGAAACTTATATTAACCATAAGACTATTTTTTAAGCTTTTAAAACTTTTTTAAAATTATTAATGAACGCTTTAAAAATCAAAAGTATTTTTTAGTTTATGTTTTTAAACATAAAGGATATTTTTTTAAGATTTTATTCAAAGTTTAGAACCTTTTGAAAATTTATAAAGTAGATTCGTGTAATTTTTTATTCTTTTGAAACTCATTTTGTTCAGTTTCAACGACAAAGTCAGAAAATTTGTTTTTTAATTCGAAAAAAAAACATTAATAATTAAAATGCATTATTAAATAATTATTATTATAACTTCTAATTAAATTAATAATCAATTACAAATTCAAAATTAGTTTTAAGGGCATACAATAAGCTATAACTTGACAAAAGCTAGAAGAATAATTACTCCCTTTTAGACAAGAGCTAAAAGAATAATTCATAATTATAAATTAGTTTTAAGGGCATGCAATTATTATTCGCCTTAGCTAGGCATTACTTGACAAGAGCTAAAAGAATAAAGTAACAAAAGCTAAACCAAGCCAAAACTCTAGAACTTCCAACAAAACACGACTACCAACTCAGCATTTCCACTCAATGAAATTGTCAATTTCATGAAAAATACAAAACCAACAACCCTGAACAGACCCACCCTAAATGAAAGTAAAGGTATGACCCAACCTAAATGAAAGTAAAGGTATGCATTCAGTGAACAGACCCAACCTAAATGAAAGTAAAGGTATGCATTCAGTGCTGGGGTGTACAATGAAGCCAACAACCTAAACAAACCCCAACAAACCCAACCCGAAATATAAAGTTTGGGTTGGGATTACTTTCTTAAGGTACGCATTCAATGCAAGGGGTATACAATGAACACGACAACCCAAACCGACCCAACCCTATAAAGGTTGGGCTGGATTTACTTTCTTAAGGTACGCATTCAGTGCTAGGGGTGTACAACAAACCCGACAATCCAAACCAACCAAACCCAAATTATAAGATGGGTTGGATTAGCATTGCGGGTTGGGTTGGGTTAATTTTTTGAAACCGGATAAATTCATTTTGGGGCAGTACTAAATCAGTGCAAAAGAAGCGAAGTGATAGCACATAGGGGCAGTTCTAGAACTAAAACCAGAAGCTCAAAACAACAAGACCGGCTGTTGTATTAATTCACCAAGGCATATAATGCATCATTGAAACAAACGGGGCCATAACAAATTTGGGCGTTAGTAAAGCAAGTTCAAAGATATCACAAAAAACTGAAATTCACTGCCACCAAAATCACGGTCTCTAAAGAATTCAACGGCAAAACAAACAAGAAATAGTAGCCAAAAATTAAGACTTTGAATGAGAATGAAGTGTCGTTCTCACTTCTTCTTCTCACCACCTCCACCGGCCCTGCAAATACAACACAATCATCCAAAACGTCATCAGAATGCTAATTACTAACTCACAAGATTTGACTCACAACACAAATGTGAACATGCCGACTTTTCACACAAACAAACCATTTTTCACACCCCATGTCTAACAATAGCAGCAGATTAGCCTTTCTACAAAGCAAGAAGGATTACCTCATCTTTCTTAGGACGTTGGACATCTCTTCTCTCTTCTTCTTAGCTCTCTTGTGAGTTCCGAGCTTTCGCTTGGCTACCTTCAGAGCTCGCTTGTCCTTTCCAACTTTTAGAAGCTCAGTGATTCTCTTCTCATATGGAGCAAAACCAGCAACTTCCCGGATCAAGCTCCGGACGAAGAGAACCCTTTTACTTGCTTTCTACATAAATTGGAATAGAAAACAGAAATTAGAGAAAACAATCTTAAATTTTGTGAAAAAACCATACTGCTACATTGTATTATGAAATATTTTTCAACATGATCTTAAAAGAATGTAACTACAGTTCAGAGCTGGTTCCATAAAATGGAATAATGCAAGCTCGTTCCTCAAGATCCTAAAAGTTAACTAACACTCCCTAGTAGAACATAACAGAGAAAACACAAAGCCTTCCAATTCCACCATCAATGAGAATTCTAAAGCATCTAGTCACTAGTTTATTGACTTACTCCCTTACGATCAGAGGGCCGCGGGGCCAACTCCTTCTTGGTGACTATGTGGCCCTTGTTGAGCCCAACAAAGAGGCCTGTATTCGGCTGTTTTGGAGCCATTACCTGTTTAAACAAAAAGCAATCAGTTCACTCTGTCAAAATTAAGTACACTTGCAAAACCCTAAAGCTGCAAGATACTGATAGAATTCATTTTAATTATTATAAGACTCCTGAAATTCGATCTATGTAACTAAAACGAAGAGTTTAAATCAAGTAATAACATTGCAAATTTCCATACACATCTCCAAACTAATTTCACAAAGCACATTCACCATTGCATACATTCTCAGCTGAAGAGCTCCAAATAGAATAAAACTTTCCCGAGTAGAAAAGGGAAAACCCCACGACGTGTGCACCATAGTCCAAATCATACAAAAAAAGATGAACAATTAATAAAAAAAAATCCTGCTGTATCGTTAAAATCATTATGAGACCTACAGATATTGCGAGCTAATCAGCGACAAGGATTCAAGACGCAAATTGGAAAATACATTATACTCGAGAACAGTGACTCACTACAAGTATATCATTAGCAAGAAACAACAGAATTGATCTTCTAAAAACTTGGAAAACACAGAAATAAGCTTAGATTTGTACGCTGAAATGAACTACGGGTGTCGTGCTTTGAAAAATTGATCGATGGGGCTAGAAATCTACGCCGTTACCTGTTCAATGAGTCTCCGGATCTCCGACGCACGACGAAATGAAAAATTAGGGCTTGTGATTAGAGTTGCTTTTATATCAGCCTGTTAATGGGCCAGACTTTAATTGGGCTGTATTGCGTGCGAAAATCGTTATATACATATATTCCCTTCCTAATAAACCCTTTTTTCATTTTATCCAATTTTTATAAAATTTACACAAATGTTTATTTATATATTTATTTATTTATTTATTTATTTAATAGGCATATACTTGAGTTGAATTGGGTTAGAAATTTTTTTATTAATTACTACATGACTCGAATGTTTTTATTTATTTATTTATTTATTTATTTTATTTTAAGGTTATAACATTGTCAAGGACATTCAAAGAGAATTAATGGGATATAACCGAAGGCTATTCAAATAGTGCAGACAATAACCTACATTTACCATTTAGATACTGGAACTCACGAACTCACTTACAATAATATTAACCATTTAGATACTGGAACTCACAATAACTTTATATACGTTGATACGATACATTTACATACTAGAACTCACTTAGAATAACTTTATGTATGTATGGACATGAGACTGAATAACTCACTTACAATAACGACTGAATAACTCACTTACAATAACTTTATATACGTTGATATGATTTACATACTGGAACTCACTTATAATAACTTTATGTACGTATGAACATGAGACTGGAACTCACTTATAATAACTTTATGTACGTATGGACATGAGACTGAATTTTAAAATGGGTTTTCTCTGAAGTAATATGCTAAAAAACATTCTCTTCGTTGATTCCGTATCCTTTTTTATCCCTTTTGGGTTATTTGATATATTTAGATCTAAAAATCTTATTTTTCGATGAAATTGTATCAAATTTCCAATAGCTACAATGATTTGAAATAAAATCAAGTTGAGAGTTTTTAATATAATTTGGATTACCATACCATACATTGTATCCTTAATTTGATATCGTACTTTGTTTGTGACGGCCCAACTCATACTTGTTACATCATACATCTAGTCGCATAACATAACCATTGACATTGGGTATTTCAATTATAACTTGTTATTCCTCAAGTTGGAGACAACTCTAATGTAAACAAACACGAGTCAATGTAAACTACAAAGAACTTAGCTTCGCATACTTTACAACACATTAACTATCACAAAACAAAAATTCAATCAAGTAAAACATTAAAATCTACTTAAATACCTCAAGCTTCTAATCCTCGAAGAATTTATGGCAACTGTTTTACGCGGCAACCTACTAACAGAACAACTGCGAAATTCAATCAACTTAATATATGATTAAAATACCTACTACAACAATTTTAGTGTACGAATTTTTATGAAATTAATAATTTAGCCACAAAACAGGAACAATTTGTCACAATTTAAGTTATATTTGATATGAGGAGAATTAATACATCTCATTTGAGTCAACACTATTCATCGTGTCAATGTCAAATGATCACATAGTATTCGAAGAGAGAATTTGTATCAATGCATTCATAAACTTCGAATAATCAAAATCATGTTCTTTCTATAACACAACCTTTTATATTCATATACTCATCATATCATTTAGTACTATGTCTACTTCTAAACTTATTTGGGACACGTCACTAAGACGTTTAAAATAACTTTTGGAGGATGAAATGTGTTTTCTAAGTCTATTCGAAACTTCACAAAAGTATCCTAGCATTTCGTTTGATAATAAAAGTTAGGTATGCTTTTCGGTATGCTTTTCTAAAGGCGTCTTATAGATGAAGTTCTTTCGCTTAGAAACACTTTTTTTTTTTTTTTACCTTTCAAAAGTCATCCTAAACTCACTATTACGTTATGATTGACAGATCATGAACCGTTAGCAACAATTTCTTGCTTACGAGACAGAGAAGCAATACCAGCAAACCAAGCTACCCTCATGAGTTGAACACCAAGTATCAGCACCCACCAGCAAACCAATCCTCTAATTGTGTGCATCGTCCAGGCCGGTGCACTGAGCTCAGCTCCAAGTTTCAACCCTCTCATGAGCTGCAAAATTCGATAACCCTCGTATACGATCGGCGTAACCAGCCAAACAGGCGATCGCCAATGCCATGTCAGCATTTCGGTCAAGATCTGCACTGAGAGGAGCAGAACATAGGGACCCAATAGAACTGCTAAGGAGATGAAAGGAAGATGGGGTTGAACCAGCCCACTTCCAGATCCATAAAGCATAATGAAAGGTATGGCAAAACCAACCACATTTGCAAGCATGTTCCAGAACTGGTAACTGAAAGGAGCCTCACTTCTCATGGGTTTTATTGGTTGTTTAGGTCGTGCACAAGCATCGGCCATGAGAAGAAAAAGCATAGCACCGAGGTTATAGATGCAGTCGAGGCCAATTAAAGAGAGGAGGCTGGCTACATTCGGACCGAGAAATACCGATGACATAGGAAGCCATAATGTTGGGGCCATCCCTGTTGTCAGGAGAAGAGAAGGCCCCAAAAGCCACATCGGCCATTTGAAAATCTGCAAATGCACCTTTGGTTGATTACTTACCTCCACAACTTCTTTGGTCTCTACTTCCACAAGTTCTTTGGTCTCTACTTCCGGAGCTTCAGTTGTGCTATCGGCGTTTAGACTTCCAAAAATATTTTCGGTTCTCTTCAAGAAGGTATCATCCTCTTCATTTTCGGACGCAAACGTGATTGGTGCAGGTTCCCAAGGATTTATCTGTGTGCAACAAATTGGAGGACGTCTTGCATGAATAAAGCGGGAATGGAGAGTGAAGGCATTAAACACCTTTGGGGACTTAAATATCTTGAAGTTTTTATGGTGGCCTTGGGGTATGGTAATAGAGAGAGGACACGATACTGATATCACTCCTTGATTCATAGTTAGTCGACCAACAAACTATCGATACGAACTATGCTTTCATTATCTGAAAAGGAAAAATAAAAAAGAAGAGAAAAGAAAGAAACGGCAATTAGATAGAACATGTCAAGGCTTTAGCTATCAATCAATAATATCTTGAAAACGTAGCAGTAGAACACTTAGTATGCCATCTCACTCCAAATACAACATATATTCATGCAGGAGTTATATCAAATCCAGCTGTTAAAAGAAAAAGACTCTTTAAAACAATGTAAAAACAAAAAAAGAGCGAGAAACCAAACTTTAACTGATTAATATGGAAAAAGAAAACAAGAAAGAAAAGAAAGAAAGAACCGACGAAAACGTCTTTTAGAAAATGAGCATCAACCAAAAAAAAAAAAAAAAAAACTCAGCTATAAACTACAAATGATAGAACCCTTATTGAGAATAAAAGCAAAAGAAAAATCACAAAACAGCTAGCTCATAACCATCCGAATAGCGCCACTTGAACCTAGCCATAGAGCACGCCTCCCTTCTCCCTCGAGGACTCGCTATCCCTCTAAAATATGCCATAAGATCCAAAAAAAAAGGCTGCATGCTAAAGGGAATTGTTTTCTAGAAACAAAGGCAAGAATAACACTCCTCCATTAAGCAACACAATTTGTAATGAGCCAAAGCTACCCTAAATCCTCAAAAACACACGTACATAAAATGCACCCCTGAGGTACTAACAAAGAGAAGCTAATGCCATTTAATCAATATAGTCGATCTTCCTAATAAAGAACTATTAGGCACGAAATTTGACCTTTTTGCGACATTAACCTCTTCAAGGTGAACAAGAGAGCGAAGAATGGTAAATTGCAGTGGTTCAGTTCAACAGATTGCCTACATTCACTTTCAACCAGCAGCTATTTCTTTATTGCTTTATTCATTTGTGGAGATTACAAGGACCCCTCAAGGGTACAAGGATCATGTCAGGCTCAAGGAATACACTGTTAGACGAACACGACTCTCCACAATGGTATGATATTGTCCACTTTGAGCATAAGCTCTCATGGCTTTGCTTTGGACTTCCCCAAAAGGCCTCATACCAATGGAGAGAGTATTCTTTGTTTATAAACCCATGATCATTCCCTAAATTAGTCGATGTGGGACTTTCATCATCCAACACTTCCCCTTGAACAAAGTATGTCTCCCCTTAATCGAGGTTGACTCCTTTGGAGTCTTAATCATTTTTTAGTTGACTCCTTTTCTTCTAGAGTCCTTTGTTCGACATTTGAGGATTTACCAATCTATTGGCACAACTAAGTTTAGGGCATGGCTCTGACACCATGTTAGACGAACACGACTCTCCACAATGGTATGATATTGTCCACTTTGAGCATAAGCTCTCATGGCTTTGCTTTGGGCTTCCCCGAAAGACCTCGTACTAATGGAGAGAGTATTCTGTGTTTATAAACCCATGATCATTCCCTAAATTAGTCGATGTGGGACTTTCATCATCCAACACACACTTTCTGTTTTCCTTAATATGGTCTGTTTGGATTAACTTTCTAAGTGCTTTGCACTTAAAAACACTTTTTTAAACATTTAAAAAAGTCATTTCAAACAGGCTAATTGACTTCAACTATTGCACTAAATTAACAAAAAATTTAATACCTTAACCGCTAATTTTCCTAATATTGATTACGCATCTGATAAAAGTTCTAAGTACCAGTAATCTTACCTATGAAGATTATGACTAAAGTGCTCGAATTCAATTCATAACAATGATGATGAGCAAAAACGTACACAAATCAATCCAACATCAATATGAAGCTACTAATGATTAAGGACAACAACATATTATAAGGGAAGAAAATAAGAAGAAATAGATACAACATGACAATAAATGAAACAGGATCGCAACAAGCGAAAGTACAATTAGAGATTATAGATGATAATTAATAAGAAAAGTCAGAATTCAGAAGAGAGTAATTACATCGATACATGAGGTCCTGATGAACAAATTTGATTTTCATCGGGCAAGAACATAGAGAAATTCAAGCATATTAAATCACAAACAATAACCTTACCTTAACAGCGAACCCAGCTGAGAAATGGAAATGGAATTGGAATTCTCAGAACCAGCTGATTGATTTCGATATTACCGATCGATTGGGGAAGAACTAAAGAATTCTTACCCGATTAAACGAGTGGTAGCTGTTAGGGCAACAGTAATCGATCGATCATCGAACCACTTCATCAGATTAAATATTTTTTAAATTTTCAATATAAAAAAATTAAATCATTTTTATTTCCATTTTTATAGATAAATTTGCTTATTTACGTATTTTAATTATCCATAAAAATTATTTTTATTTAAAAACTCGTTTTTCTTTTTTTTAAATAAATTTATTTTTTCTTCCAATTTTAGATATAATTTGATTTTAAATATTTTTTAATTATCCTATTATTTTAAGATTTTATTGTTTAATTATAATTACCCATCAATTAATTTTGTGTAGAATTTTATTGAATTTTAGTATGGAGGGCATTTTAGTCATTTTGAATGAACTAAAATTTGTCAAATTAAGAGTTATTTATTATTATTATTATTATTCTTTTTGCCTATTATTCTTTTTAGGATAAGCCCTAACTGCCGGAAGAAATTTCTATCTGCTTTTCACTGACGTCGTTGATACCGTCGTTCATCACCTACAGTCGCCGATCGCTGACCATCCGCAGCGTCTTACATTGCCATTCTATGCCGCCGGGTCCTTAGCCCAACGGCTGTTTGTCACACGTGTCACATAATTCTCGCTACCGCCGCCTGTCGTTGCCCATCGCCGTCCATAGGACAACCATCAACGCACCGCTCCAAACACGATCCGTATCTGAAGGGAGAAATCCTAGTCGCCACAGTTTTCTCCTCTGTTTTCATTTCAATTGTGCCGCCCCACATCCTCGATCTTGTATTGATTTGTCGCCGCCACTCACCACCGGCTGCCGACTGCCGCGGCTCAATTTCTGAAGGGTGTTTCGTTTGTGAAAGTGAAAAGGAAAAAAGAAAAAGGTTTGCTCTATAGTCTATACCCAATTTTGGATTTTTTTTTTTTTTTTTTTTTTTTTTTGTTTAACGAGTTGGTTTAAGGTAGGATTGTTATTAGGACAGAATTAATGTATTAGGGTATGTGAGATCCTAACACATTGGTTAGAGAGGGGAACGAAACGTTCCTTACAGAGGTGTGGAAACCTCTCTCTAGTAGATATTTTTTAAAATTTTGAGGCTGATAGCCATACCTAACAGGTCAAAGTGGATAATAACTGTTAGGTGTGTAAACCTCTCCCTAGCAAACGTGTTTTATAACTGTGAGGCTGACAGTAATATGTAACGGGCCAAAACAGACCGTATCTGTTAGTGATGAGTTTTGACTATTACAAATGGTATCAGACCCAAACGAGGACACTAGGCCCTCAAGGGGCGGATTATGAGATCCCACCTCGGTTGAAGAGGTGAACGAAACATTCCTTACAAGGGTGTGGAAACCTTATAACTGTGAGGCTGACAGTGATACGTAACGGGTCAAAACAGACAATATCTGTTAGTGGTGGGTTTGGACTGTTACAAATAGTATCAGAGCCAGTCACCGAGCGGTGTGCCAACGAGGACACTAGGCCCTCAAGGGGTGGATTATGAGATCCCACCTCGGTTGGAGAGGTGAACGAAACATTCCTTACAAGAGTGTGGAAACCTCTCCCTAGTAGATGCGTTTTAAAATCGTGAGAAGAAAGGATAGATAGAGTTTATGGACGTCAATTGTGGAGATTAGAAAATATTTTGGGAGTGGGTAATTTCCTACGTTGTTTCTGAATGTTGCTCCTGAATTGTTTAGATATCCGAACAGCCCATCGGTGAGGACTGAATTGAGTGAAAGATCTTGCATCTGATATCATTCTCAAATCTCCAGGCCTGGCTTGATAGCTATTCTGAGTTCTTAGTCACTACGAAACTTAGATGCTGGGCATTTCATATGGAGAACTCCTCCTCCTTATTGGGGCTACTGTTGCCTTCATTGGTAATCACTGCATCACCCTTTCTCGTTTGCTAAACTATCGAATATATTTAAGCCGTGAATAGAGTTTTGACTCCCAGATTGTTATGAAAAGGGCCAAAGGATCTCCCACGAATTGCGAGAATGGCGGGAAGGAGGGCTGGAAAAGCAATCGGATACGTTCAGTTAGCTCGAGGTCAGTTCGACTCTGTCATGCAACAAACCCAGGCTCGTCAGGTATTTCTTCGTAGATTCTTTCGTGATGGTTGTGAAGGTTTCAGCAGTGTCACTGACTTTTGGAAAGACGATGATATAATATTATAGGACGTTGTAAAGGTATGTTTTTGAAAAACGAGCCACGTTTTTAGGGTATGTTTGGAAGTGATTCAAACCACTTTTCTTATGTTCAAAATCACTCTCGAACGTGTCTTTAATCATTGAAAATAAGACGATCACTTATAAGCAAGTTATTTCCACTATCACTCTCGAACGTGTCTTTAATGATTGAAAATTAGGAACTTGTTAGAGCCGAACAAATAATACTTCGGAATTGATTTGTTGATTGTCGAGCTAGGCAGAGCAGGAAAGTATCCACAGGCTTTCTATGTTCTTGCTGATTAGATCATTTTCCATTTGATCCTCCTGTTTCTTTGTAATTTTTGTCTAGAAGTTTTTGGAGTTTTTTCCATGCTGGTTTTACAGGCAAATTGAAAGGGCATTTAGCTGATTTACTGACAATCTTCTGGAACAAATTTGTCTAGAACTGATTCCCTGTTTGCAGGTTCACAAGGAATTGCAAGACACTATGGCGCAGCTTGATGCTATTCGTCATGAAATTCGAAGCATATCGTTCTTGAATCCCGGGACATTGACTCAGAGGCTTGTGGACAATCCTGAGCTGAAAGCAGCTGATAGTGGTGTAACTAGTACGTGATATGTATCCCTACTGCTAACTTTTACAAGGTTGTTTAATTTTTCTAATTGTCCCATTTGGAATGGCAGGTGATTCAGCAAAAGAAAAACCTTCTGTGGAGATTACACCAACGGCTGAGGGGACTACACCAGCAGCTAACATCCTCAAGGTTCTTATTAATTGCTGAATATCATTATGGATCTTTTCGTCACTACGATTTTAAGCGACTTCATATCTGCACTTTTCTTCAGGTTGCAACTTCACAAATATCGATCGAGCACAGCCGAGCGACTACATTTGCCAAATTGGCTGAATCACCGACCATAAGGAATGGTTCCTCTGCCTCATTTCCAGTTGCTACAGATGTTGAGAAGCCTAACGATGAGCTCGGGGTTCCTTCCGTTTTACCTGTATCTGCTGAAAATGCTGGGATGTTACCTAAACGCCCGGGTATGTCATCTGGCTATTGAATTCAAAGATTTGATCATGGTTGCGTTATCTTATAACTTTCTTCACTGCTAGTGTTAGAATCCTGACTTGGGAGGTTAGTGCACTTGGGACTAAGACATCAATTGATGTAATGTTAGATGAGTTATGTATGGGTGGGACACCATTGCACTTGATAACCAGATATGTTCATCATTTGGTTGGGGATGGAGGGATACCTTTTTCTGGAAGGATAAGTGGTTGGGGGATAAACCCCTTTGCACTCTGTTCTCTCGTTTATTGCAGCTGTCCTCAATGAGGAACGACTCAGTGGTGGCGGTTTTGTCTTCGCTCATATCTTCTTCTTCATTGGGATGGGGTTTATCCTATTAAGAATCATAGATCTCCACAATGGTATGATATTCTCCACTTTAAGCATAAGCTCTCATGGCTTGGCATTGGGTTTCCCCAAAAGGTCTCATACCAATGGAGACGTATTCCTTACTCAGAAACCCATGGTCATTCCCTAAATTTACCAATGTGGGACTCCCTCCCAACAATCCTCAACATATCCAACAGGGCAACATTAGATATTATTGATCCTTTGTCTTACTGGGGAGCTTCGAAAGGAGAGATGCTCGTTGTTCGAATCTTAGTCTGTCTAATGGGTTCTCATGCATTTTTTTTTTTTTTTTTTTTCGTTTACTCCTTGGTGATTTAATCTTTGTCTCGTGCGGGGATAACGTGTCGAGGAGGGTGTCAAACTTGATGGGACAATTGCATCCTCTGCAGAAATTGATCATAATCTCGGGTTTGCGATTTTGCATACGTAGTGAATATCTGGTTTTGGTCTAGGTTTGACCAGACATAGGGGATGTCGAGGGGTGACGAACGCGAGAAGGGAAGATTTTTGTGTTGAGCAGGGGCATGTGTCATTGTATGGGGATAGTGTGAGAAAAGGGACAATAGATTTTTTACTCGTCTATGATGAGGAGGTCAGGGTGTAAACATTGAGATCCCGCATTGGTTGGAGAGGAAAACGAAGCCTTCCTTATAAGGGTGTGGAAACCTCTCTCTAGTAGACGTGTTTTAAAACCTTAAGAGGAAGCCTAGCAGGGAAAGCCCAAAGACGACAATATCTGCTAGCGGTGGGCTTGGGCTTGTGCTGTTACAAAACATTTCATTCAATCGACGTTTCTTAATGTTGGGAAGGTTTTGTTTAAGGTATTTACGAGAGGTTTCGACTTTTTCAGAGGAGTTAAAAGGGTCTGACATAATGTTAGAAGCAGTATTGGAAGCAGAGGTGGCTAACAGTGCAAAAGAATTTTTCTCGCATCATCAAATTCAAATGAAACAGGAACAAGAATCATAATTTCATTGATGAATGGTCTATAAATGAAGTTCAGAAGGTTCAAAAAGCGTACCCCAGGTATTCCCCTGACTTCATACCCCTGACTTCATATGTGTGCCATTTGTGTAAGAGAATGAATTAAATAGAAGGTTACAGTTTGCTCCTTTTGTATGTATAGTTTACTTACTTTTGCTTGTTGAAAAGAAATAGGGGGATAAGAAACACTTATTCTGCTCGTACTTAATGATCTTCGGTGCCTCTATGGTTTATGATCAATTGTTTTCACTGCTTCTTATAAGTCGATGAGCATGTGCTGGGTCGCTGCTTGAATGCTTCTTGTTACTTAAAAGGCTTATGTTGTAACACCTCAAACCCAACCCAACACTAGCGGATATTGTTCTTTTTGGGCTTTCCATTTCGGCCTTTCCCTCGATTTTTAAAACGCCTCTACTAGAGAGAGGTTTCCACACCGTTATAAGAAATGCTTTGGTCCCATCTCTAACTGACGTGGGATCTCACAATCCACCCCTTTGGAGGTCTAGCGTCCTTGATGGTACATTGCCCTGATACCATTTGTGACAGTACAAATCCACCGATAGCATATATTATTCTTTTTGGGCTTTCCCTCAAGGTTTTTAAAATCCTCTCTACTAGGGAGAGGTTTCTACCCCCCTTATAAGGTATGCTTTGTTCCTCGGATCTCACAATCCACACCCTCTTTGATACCATTTGTAACAGCTCAAGCCCACCACTAGCAGCCCAAGTCCTCTTTGGGTTTTTCCACACCCTTATAAAGATGTTTCGTTCCTCTCTCCAATTGATGTGGGATCTCGCAAGAGTCATCGCTTTAACTCAATTGTCTAGATCTCGAGCTGTATACACATTAATAGGATACATTCGAAATGTTAAGTGCCTTTGTTACATATTTGTAGCGATAGAAATGAATGTTTTCTTTTCTGCAGTTTCATGGATTTTTCTACCCCTAATTTGTGGTTTCAACAATGTATCTTCTTATACCGTGGGAGGATAAAATATTATTCGTTTGATGGTACATACTTGTATCTGTGGGAGCTGTTCGTTGGATCATTTTCGAAGGGTTTGACATCGAAACGCTTCGACGTCAAACTAGGAAGGTTTGTACCAAGTTTGAATCAATATTTCAGCCATTAATATTACAGCATAGGTTTACTTGTGATTTAATACTCTTCCTACCTTTTAGGTTTTAAGTTTCGTATGATAATTGTTAATAGTTTCGTTTTAGTCACGACCTATTTGAAAACAATTAGCAATTTTAGAACACTTCGAAATAAAAAGTTAACTCGTTACTTGGCCGTTTTTTTTCTTCTTTTTATGGAATAATGGATAATAGGTAGATTTGAAGTTGAATATGTGGTCTTTTTTTAACTTCTTTGGCGCAAGATTTCCTTATTATCACCCCATTCTTAGATCATTTAGATCGGGAAGACCTAATAATTTACTTTAAAACATGTTTTTAATCGTTCTAAATCAATTTTATTTTACCCGTTTAATCATACCATCAAAATAGATTTTAAATAATTAAACAGGTTTTAACAAGTGTGAGATTAGTTAACCAACATCCAACCTCTTTTATATATATATATATAGATCTAAGTAATTGGACTGATCTAATTTGTCCGAGGATTCTAAAATTTATAAAAAACGATATAATTAAATATAAAATATAAAGTGGAATATGACATTCATTTTTGTACAATTGGATCTTGAGTAGTTGTGTCTTGGATCTCATTTTGTTTTGGGAACAATAAATTTGATCCAAAATAAATTCCTCAAATTTCTTCTTTAAATTACAAACAACCCAATCCTCTGGCATCTGATCCTTTCATAATTCTCAATCTCTTGCAGCAGCAAATAAACATACTGCATGAAGGAAGAACACAAATATATTAGGGTTCTTAGAGAGAAAGATCAGTAAAGAAGAGGTAAAATTACAGAGAGGGAGACTCACTTCCATGGAACATCTCCAACCATCATCCAATCACCATCTTTATCTTCATAAGTTAGAGCATATTCACACCAATTGTTCCCCTCTTTCTCTGAATTTCCACCTATTAATTACCATACAAATTTATGTGTAGATGCATTAGTTTAAGTTTAAAATCTATTTTCATATAGAATGTATAGATTTTTATGTTGCCTAAACGTGTAATCAAACCGGCCTTAAAATCTCTTATCAACGATTATCAACCAGAGAAGAACGAGTTGGATTAGTTTTTCTTTTAATTTTCCTTACTATGTTCATCTCTCTGTTATAAGTGGAAGTTTATGAATTACTTCTCAAAATGAAAAATGAAATGGTTATGGAGGCAAAACTAACCAAGTTTGATGTTGAACATGTCTTCCAAAACGTCCAAAAGCTGTTGATAGCTCTGATAAAGCTTGAGATCAATCTTCCTGAGATAAGGAGCTCCATCTAAGCTTACTTTCACATACATTCCACTGCTCCCTACTTCCTTGTTCATAATCTCCTTCTGAATCTTCTTTTCTGCTTCAATTATCATATTCTTCAGGTAAGATCTCACCGGTGGCCATCCTACCACTTGCGCCCTGCGATAATTCATCCACCACAAGAACACAACACACATAAACCCTAATTTCCTAAAACAGCGATTCAGATTGAAATAGAAACAGAAATTAAACGAATCGCGATTATCGACTTTACTTTGCCGGTGGAGGATGATCGATAATGTGTATTTCGCGGCAATGCAAATGCTCGGCATCTGAAGAAGGATTAGTGGACGAAATCGAGTACTCGCTTCCGGATCTGGAATCACTCTTGCTCTGTTCCGCGGATTCTGATTGTGATTCTCGTTCTTGTTCTGTTCTCGGCAGTAATCCTAATCGCAGCTCTGTTGCCTCGAAATTGAGATCGCGGACGTTTCCAAAACTCGCGAACTGGCGCTTCATAGCTTGAAGAACGGAAGGAAATGGAATTTGCGTGAAATCTGTTGGAACGAAGTATGAAATGGATTTGGATTGTGGGAAGTGAAGGCTCTCAAGAAGTTGTTATTTGTAGGAGTGACCGTTAATGAGCATTTATTACGACGCGCCCCATTCCCACGCGCCCTATTCCAGTCCAAGTGTGCAGTTGTCTGATTTTAAAAATTTACCAAAAATATGGATTTATTATACTCAATGAGTTTAATAAGTGAATTAACTTAGATATTAAATTAATTTTTTTCTCAAAATTCTACGAAAATAACAATTAGTCATTTATTTAACATTAGCTCAGTTCCCACATCGGTAAAGTTGCAAAAACGGACACAACTTGGGAGTATAAAATGCCCCTTTGTCAACTTACTTCAAATCACGGAGTCGGGCGGTGAGCATAGAGCGAACTATTCTTTCGCCTTTTACTAAAGAATACCGTGTGCACGTTGCATTCACCGACATACGCCTATTTTTGGAGGGGTTTCACTTAAAGCGAGAAACTCCCACAACTCGAGTAAAAAAATCTTTTTATTCCTACTAATATTTAAATGATTAATTTAATATGCAAATAGTTAAGATTATTTTAGTAAATGATTATTTATATGATTTTATTTGTTTTTCTTATATTTCTTTTCTTCCTTTAAATAAATGAAAATTGGTTGAAATAATATTGCAGCACGCGCTTAAAGATGCGCGTGGGGTAAAATGAATGAGAATGAATGTTTACAGGTAATGCTTTGTTATGTCGTAGGCCACAGCCGCAACGACGAGGAAAGAGCGCGCGAGGTGACAAATCCAGGCAATCGTGGGGAACCACATGGACGGCTGGGATTGTTCTTTCAACAAAGGCGAATTCTAGGCCGTTGGATCTAGCTAGACATCCCACGTGTTAGAGTGGTGCCCACGTGTACTTTTCTGATTGGGACAAGCGTGCCAGATGGATATTCTTTGGTCTTTTTTACCCAACGTTGTGGTTTGTTTCAAGCCACATCTTTGTTTACCTTTTAAAACGTTCGTAGATAGATTATAAGGTAAATTTTTTTTTTACATAAAAAGGCAAAATACATTAATTCTAATTAATTTTTATTGACGGGTACTTTTAAATATAGTATTAACCGTAAAAATATTTTTTAAATTGTTTAAAAAAAAGTTGAAGGATATTAATAAAAAATTTTAAAGTTTAAAAGCTAATAGTAAAACGCAATTACGTTAATTTTGAAAGTTAATAAATATTTTTTTAGAATGTTTTAGTATTAATAGTTTCATTCCTATATTATTTTTTATTTTTTTTATAATGTTAATGGATATTTTTTAAATATATAGTGATATGAACTAAAAGACATCAATCATACAATATACTTCAATGAAAATGTGAAGAAAATGTTGACAAAATTATTAAAAGATGTTGCAATTCATGCCACGTTGAAGAGGAATGAAGTTTGATGGTTACCATTTAGAATTGTTGTATTTCATTATTGTATTTTAAGACTTTTAATTTACTTTAGGTTACAATTACATGATGGTTAATTATGGCCATTAAGTATAAATGTTACAACTCTCGGAATGTTTAGTAATTTTATTTTGAGGCTATATAAAGCCATGTATGTTGTATTTGTAAGCAGACTTGGAAAATGTAGTAAAAGAAGCATTTGTGCTCTTCTTTAGCCAATAACTAAGTTTCTTTACAATTCTACGTAGTTTAGGTTGCATGTAGAATCATTCAAGCTCGACATGATCAATCTTGCTTGTGGAGTGATTCGAATCTCAATCAAGTGTTCTTACGTTGAGATATTTGATCAACAAGAATCATTCAAGCTAGACATGATCAATCTTGCTTGTAGAGTAATTCGAATCTCAAACAATGTTTTTGCCTTGAGATATTCGATTAAGAAGGTAATCCGAATCTTACTCTCCTTGTAGTGATTTCCACATATCATATAGTTTTTTAAATAATTAAGACATTAATGAAATTTTGAAAGTTCGAGAATATTTTTAAAAATATATTTTTTTAAAGTATTTTTAAAATAAAATATTTTTATTAACCTAAAATTTATCACACTCCCTTCAAATATTTTTATTAATTTAATCTAATATTTTAATATTTGAGTTTTTTACTCGTAATTTTAGTTCGACACCTTTAAAAATCTCAAACTCAATTTGTACGGATTATTACAATGAATTATCAATTTATTTAGAAGAGTTAAATTTAAATAAATGAAAATTTTTATGAGTTGGTTTGTCGGTAAGTTGTTGAATTAATTTATTGTTAATTAATATATATATATATATATATTAACTATACCATAGGTTTATAATAATTTTATTTAACTCCATAATTTGTTTTTTTTATTATTTATTCTCCCATATCTTTTAAAAATAAAATTTTAAATATTTGAAGGATAATTATTTATAATATATATATATTAATAATCGAATTATGATTTTTATTGATCGATAATAAACGCATAGATATTTTACTTATTAACATTTTATTTTTATTAAAATAAGAATTTAAATAAATAATGAAACAATTAGAATATTACCTTTAAACATTTTAAAATGTTTCAAAAATAAAAAATATTTAAAACGAAATATTTTAAAAAGTTTTTGAAAAGAAATATTTTTTTATTTTTTAAAAACGAATTTGGAGTATTATTAAAAAATTTAAAAACTAAAAAATATTTTAAAATTTAAAGATATGTTTTTTTATTAATTTAACGGAGACGCAACACGTGGGAGGAAAGACAAAGGGTTAAGGGTCGTAAAGGATTGAGACAAATCGCGGTTGCTGTGGATAAGACACGTGGAACTTCTAGAGTGCCAAAATTTCAGTCTGAAAGTTCACACACGTAGCCACTAACCAATAATTCACAATTTTCCCCCAACAAATTCTCTCCCTCTCAAGAATCCAATCCACCATGTTCTTCTCCAGATCCAATTTTCCCCCAAAATGCACACAATCTCCCAAATTCCTATACCCAAAATCAGACGTTGACTTCCAGGTACAATCTGTTCTTGTCTAACTTTAGATTTATATGCATTTCGGATTTGAGTTTCTACGAAGGGTTCTCGAGGGAGTTTATAGCTAAGTCCACTGCATTCACTCGGTTTCCTCTGTCTCTTTTGTTAATTTGAAGAAATCCAGCGTTTAATTCCACGTTTTTCCATATTTGAAACTCTGATTCTTAGTTAAGAATGTTCTTGTATGATTCTGATTCTCGAATTCTTGACCGGGAAGTGTGAATTTGTCCCTATCTTCTTCGTTTTCACTTCCGTTGCTTCTGTTTTTTGCTCTTGATGATCGAAATTTGAAGCCTAGATCTTCCGTTGTTTTGGTGTTCATCCCTAAATTAGTTTAGCTCCATGGGATTCAGTGATTGGAAGCTACTGGAAGGTTCATATGGTATTGGTTGATGAATGAATTCCCGCATTCAAGTATTTGTGTTCTTCTCTTGTTATTTGATTCTTTGGAGAGAAGTTTAAGATTTATTTTCTTGTGAAGTATGCTTTCTAGTTCGCCCAAAATGATCGATCGAAATATTTTGAAGTTCTTCGGTGCCCCATAATCATCTACCACCTGTTATCAACTCCAAGACTTGTATCAATAGAGCTTGTAGTTTCCTTGCATCAAATTTCTTTATGTTTCTTCATAACTCGGGCATTTACTAGAAAAATCTGTATGATCTATCATTCCTTTGAGCTTAGATCATAGGCAACAATGTCTATCATATGTGGTGTACCTATCCTTGAGTGCGTATGCTGTCTGGGATGTGCACGTTGGGTGTGGAAACGCTGTCTCCACACAGCTGGTCATGACAGTGAAACTTGGGGCTTTGCCACGGCCGATGAGTTTGAACCTATTCCCCGAATTTGTCGATATATCCTAGCTGTGTATGAAGATGATATTCGAAAACCTCTTTGGGAACCAGTTGGTGGGTATGGAATCAATCCAGATTGGTTAATCTTGAAGAAGACATACAAAGATACACGAGGGCGGGCTCCTCCATATATTTTATATCTCGATCATGATCATGCCGATATTGTTCTTGCCATCAGGGGATTGAATTTGGCAAAGGAGAGTGATTATGCAGTTTTATTGGACAACAAGCTGGGGAAGATGAAATTTGATGGTGGATATGTTCACAATGGGCTTCTGAAGGCAGCTGGATGGGTTTTGGACAGTGAGAATGAAACTTTGAAGGATTTGGTGAAGAAATATCCGGATTATACCTTGACGTTTGCTGGGCATTCTCTTGGCTCTGGAGTAGCAGCCATGCTAACTTTGGTAGTAGTACAGAATCACGAAAAATTGGAAAATATTGATCGGAAGCGGATAAGGTGCTATGCTATCGCTCCTGCTAGGTGTATGTCCCTGAATTTGGCTGTTAGATATGCAGATGTCATCAACTCTGTTGTTCTTCAGGTAAACTACAGTTTTTTTTCTTCAGCTATCATTTTCATTATAAATCGATATTATGTATTCTGTAAAAGAGAACAATCTTTTTTGTTGTACGTGTACAAAGTCCCAACTGTTCAAAAATATTTTTTGATTATCGTTTATTGAAGCTGAATATGTGTCAAATTTATACTTGCATCTCAAAATGTAACGGCGATTATTATACTGGACCAGGATGACTTTTTACCCAGGACAGCCACACCCTTGGAAGACATTTTTAAGTCACTCTTCTGGTATGGTTCAGGATTCATGACCCTTTATGGTGTTAACTCCTTTTACGTTGTTGACAACTCGATTGCTGCAAGCATGGAAACTAGAGCCCTATTCTTGCGATGTGAACTCAATCTTATATTAACGCTCATTGCATAAAAGTAAAAACGGAATCTATGCGTTCTGATGAAAAGAATAAATTGGAAATGGTAGTTTAGTTTTATTCAGTGTGTGATTCATTTGAAATTCTCTTCCCAACCATGAATATTTCATAAATTGTTTGTTTCCCTTTTAGTTTGCCATGCCTTCTATGCCTGGGGTGCCTGCGGGATACATGCATATCGGAGGACAAGATGCTTAAAGATCCGAGAAGACTTTACACACCCGGTCGACTCTATCACATTGTTGAGCGAAAGCCCTTCAGGTAAATGCCGTGTATTTTCCATATTAAGTTGGTTAATGTAAGGGAGAATTCATGTTTCGTTCAAACAAGAAAACGTACCACTTATTACCGGGCTTGTTGTGTGGAAAGGAATTAACGTTTTATTGCGAGCATCTGTTCAAAAAGTTGAGATTCTGAGTTTATGGCCTTCCCTTACATGTTGTGTGGAAAGAAAGCCTCTCTTAACCTTATCAGTTATTAAAATGTTGGCTTTCTGACCATTGAACCTGAAACATGTCCTGCTCTAACATTTGAATGAATTCATCTGTTTCTTGCGAAAGGTGTGGAAGATTTCCGCCAGTTGTGAAGACGGCCGTCCCGGTGGATGGGAGGTTTGAACACATAGTTCTTTCTTGTAATGCAACTTCTGACCATGCTATCATTTGGAT